AGAAAAATGTGTTCATTATTTAGAATGTGTGTAGAGAGTTCTTAGGAATAACAGTCTTTTCTGAAAAGCAGTGATACTACTAAGCATCAGGGGTCCCTTTTAGCTGAAGGTATCAAAGTACTTCTTTTTAAACAAGGTTTTCTTATGTTCAGATACACAGGCAGACTTACAAGTGTGTAGCAAAAGGGAATATATTCAGGCACTTGTCCAGAATAGGAGCCACGTCAGAGGAAGACCAGGCTCTGCTCAGTCTTTGCTGAGGGTGCCCTGTCCCCTGTCCCCTTTGTCAGTAACTAATTCTGATGTGGGGAAGTTCCACCTGCCCTTGGATGTTGGCTCTGATGGTGGGTTCCCACCAACTAGGGTTTCTAAGTGGGACGAATGCTGCTCACTCCTTTGTTCAGATGCTTTCCCACAAACCATTATTTGTAGCAGGGCAGCAAATGACAACATTCTTGTCAACAGCTATGCAATGCTAGTCTTCGAGGCGTTTTTGGGTTGAGTCACCTGACTCCACTCATATCAGAGAGAGCCCCTGGACAGGTCCCAGATAGCAGCTAGTAACTGTCACTTGCCTGATGACCTCAGTTAAGAGTACCTGCGCCAAAGTACCTGAGCAGATAGTTCTACTTAAAGCAGCACCTGAACGGGATGCTAATCTGTGGCTTTGGAAAGAGTCACTGAGGCCGACACTTAGTGAGTGCTTACTAGGTGCCAGGCACTGTGCTCCACAAAGTTATCTCACTTAGTCTCACATTAAGCATAGCCAGTAGGTACTGTTATTAGCCTCAGTTTACCGAGGCTCTGAGATGTTAAGTAACTTGGCCAATATCTCACGACTAGTAAGCAGTGGAGCCCAGCTTCATTCACCAGGGCCCAGAGCAGAATGAAAGTGTGGTCCCTTGCTAAAAAATGATTAAGAACATCAAAATGGCACCAGCAGATCAATAGACCAAGCACGGGGCCCTTCTTAGTGTGGGTGCACAGATTGCACTCCCAGAAAGCCAGTTCTGCACACATAAGACAGTCTGGGCCTACAATGCACACTTTTTAACCAGATAACAGGCTGAATGGCACACGGTTGTGCAAAGATTCGGCTTAAATAGCAAATGCAGGTGTTATGTGTGAGCTACTCAGGCAGTCTTCTTTAAACATGAGCTTTCTGGGGGCACCTGGGTGGCGCAGTCGGTTAAGCGTCCGACTTCAGCCAGGTCACGATCTCGCGGTCCGTGAGTTCGAGCCCCGCGTCAGGCTCTGGGCTGATGGCTCGGAGCCTGGAGCCTGTTTCCGATTCTGTGTCTCCCTCTCTCTCTCTGCCCCTCCCCCGTTCATGCTCTGTCTCTCTCTGTCCCAAAAATAAATAAATGTTGAAGAAAAAAAAATTAAAAAAAAAAATAAATAAACATGAGCTTTCTCTTCAAAAAGGGCCTGGAACTGGTTTCTAGCCAGAGGTGAACACAGTGAAGCCCTGCCTTGGTCCTTCTCATTTGTAACAGATGGGCCTTGCCGGGCAGGTCATCTCCTGCCAGAAGTCACCAGAAGTCGGTTGGTGGAGTAGCTCTTTGGACTTCTTTTGCTTAGTCCAAATTCCTGTGTTCTCCCTGACCAACTGCCTCTCTCGCTGCCACGTCACCCCATCTCGTTTCCCAGATGTTGCTGGCCCTAGCTGCACCAAGAGATTCCCACACCCCAGATGCAGCTGTGGGCCCACCCAACTCCCTGCGCCAGCCCCACTGGCAGTACAGACATTTCTGTCCCCTTGTCCTGGCGCTGTGGGAGAACAGCAGAGTTTCTGGAGGGAAGAGAGGAGCCAGCCATCTGTTTTCTCCTGGGGCTTCATCTTCCTGGAGACGTATTGCTCAGAAGCGATTCCTTCCTACAGAAAACCCCGGGCAAGATGATAATTGCTACTACTTATTGAGTGCTTACTTTGTGTCATGATTTACATGTATTTAATCTCTACAGGCAACTCATACTTTGCATGTAACCCATTTTATCTTTAATAGCTACAAGGCAGGTGCTGTTAACAGCCCGGTCTCAGAGGAGGAAAGTGAGGCAGAAAAGTTAGGTAAATACCCAAGATCTGAGAGTCAGTAAGTGGAAGTGTCAGAACAGGAAGCTTTGCGGTCTCTAGCCACGAGCGTCCATAACCATCACTCTGAACTTCAAAGTTCTGCCACGGATTTTGGAAGGATGGGCAGGGAAGTCCAACAGGCCCGGTAAAGCAGAGCCAAAAATCCAGGAATGTGGCCCTCCCATTGCCTCAGAGCAAACATCCAAAATGTGATTCATCTAGAATTTTCCCAGAGTGACAGTATTGAGGGTTCCACTGGAACAGCTTTTCCATATAGACCGTCAGAGCCAGGGGACACGTGCACACATGTGCACACACACACACACACACACACACATGCATAAACACAGCATTACTCAAAAATGGCAATTACCTTATGCCCAGTATGAAGTGATGGCCTTAAATATATTTAAAGACTTATTTGAACATTAGTGAATATTACTCTACTTGTGTGCTTACCCGAGAACTTTAACTTCGTTTCGGTGTTCTAGTCTATGAAACACTGAAAAAGTAAGGAGCCAATTTCAGTAATGCTACTAGTGATAATACTACTTTGCACTGGTATAGTACCTTACAGTTCACCGATTTGTGCCCATTTCCCTTGAACTCCTCTCATCCTGGGATTTGTAGAGGTTAAATGCATCCGAGGACAACCAAGTGGAATGAGGTCGAGTTGAATCTGGAGCCTCTGTCTTCTCGCTTCTTTGTCATGCTCCTTGGATGCCACCAGAAATTCCCTGAACACAGTCCTTACCCAGATGGTGGGGCAGATCTCTCAGAAAGCTGGGGCAAGAGTGTGTACCTCTTGTCGGGGCTAATAAGACGCCCATTATTTAGTAGGCTCAAAGCCTCAATTTGTTTGCCTGTGCTGTGTCTGCCGTATGTTTCCTTCTGAGATACTCAGACTAAGGAAAACCTACGTTCTCTGACAGTAATCTCTGACAATACTGAGACAGTCAGGCAAGAGTCATAAATGTTTTCACAGGTCAATATCCACCTCTATAAAGTGAAGCTGGGTAGGCACATTTATTCCCCTTTCAATGTAAATCAGATTATTCTAGAGGGGAAGTCTTAGAAAAATGGTTTTGTCCAAGTTCCTGAAAGCACCTGAAAAAAGTCCCAGGAGCCTTTTTTTTTTTTTTTTTGCACAATTAAATGGCAGTGGTGGTGAGTAAAAGAAATGCAAGACGAGGAAGGCTTGCCTGAACGCTCATTTAAGAAATGGAAACTGTAAGCCTGTTTCCGATTCTGTGTCTCCCTCTCTCTCTGCCCCTCGCCCGTTCATGCTCTGTCTCTCTCTGTCCCAAAAATAAATAAACGTTGAAAAAAAAAAAAAAAAAAGAAATGGAAACTGTAACTGAGATAATTCATGATAAGAGGTTTGAATGATTCTGACAAGAAAGTTGGAAAGAAAAATAGCCAGGTGACTCATCGCCCGAAGGCAGAAGCAGCAGCGAGGTCTCTAGGCTCATAGGAGGTGGACGATGGGACCGCATCAACATTATCCTTGACTGCGCTGCACCCCTAACATAACCATAACCATGAGCCCAGTAACTCACCCATCGCATGGCTCTAGAAACAGGCCCCACATGAGTTACCCTGTTATGGGAGAATAGTTGGATGACTATCTGGGCGCTAGTTAGCATAACATTCAATACTCATTGGCATGAAAACTGAATAGCAAGTCATTTAGATTCTCATCTCTTTATAAGTCACAGTAATACCGTCGCCCCTCCCCCACCCCTGCTTTTTTTTTCCAGCCCTACTTCCATTAGTCTCATCCATCTAGTGGAAACCCAGTGCTCACTATACAGAAGTTACTTACGTAATTGCAGAATTCTTTTTTTTTTTTTTAATTTTTTTTTTCAACGTTTATTTATTTTTGGGACAGAGAGAGACAGAGCATGAACGGGGGAGGGGCAGAGAGAGAGGGAGACACAGAATCGGAAACAGGCTCCAGGCTCCGAGCCATCAGCCCAGAGCCTGACGCGGGGCTCGAACCCACGGACCGTGAGATCGTGACCTGGCTGAAGTCGGACGCTTAACTGACTGCGCCACCCAGGCGCCCCCGTAATTGCAGAATTCTTAAGAATGGAGATGCTGTATTTTCAAGCACTACTTGAAATATACATTATAGCCATGACTATAAAAAGATTCTTTTATTTTCAAACATCCATTCCACCAATAGATATGTATTTAGTGCTTGATAGCCCTTGATGCAGGAAGCGGGCGGGAAGAGAGGCAGGATCCAGAGACGATGTAAAGTTCCCAGTAAGGAGCAAAAGCCAAGCAGAGCTAAACATCACTCATTGTGAGAAGACGCACAGTCTTCCTTCCCTGCTCTGCAGTTTTCAGGTGTCTCAGGGTGGGACTGTACGGTCCATGGGTCCTTTCCGAATTTGTGCCAGGCCACATATCCTCCTTAGTGCGGAGTATCCGTTTCCCTATAGAGCCAAATATCGGGGGTAGCCAAGTCTGTTGGGTGAAGGGGATGCACATGAGATGAGACGATAAAGGAGAAGCTCCTTTCAAATCTACAAAGGGCAATGGCGAGCCCTTCGTGGATATTCAGGTCTCCCTGAACCAGGCATGTCCAAGATGTTTGGTGTTTCTGAGGGGGATGGTACCGATTTCCATCAGCAATGCAATTCTGGGTGACTACCAATTTTCCTAAAGTGTAATCTAATTAAACACATGAAGATCCAGGAAGTCTGGATCTCCTTAAAACTGTTTCCAAGGAGAGAAGAGAGAGAAGCAATGGAACAACGTTCTGATGGCCGGAGGGCCTTTGAAATGAAGCTCTACTCCCCGACTGCTCGTGGAAGTGCAGAAATCCTTCCGTCTATCTGTGGGTTCTCTGGTTCAGCCCTCTGATTTCTCTGCCACCTCACCACTCTCCCTCTCTCTTTTTGATATTTCTCACCAGGGTATGGGAATATTGCTCCGAGCACTGAAGGAGGCAAAATCTTTTGTATTTTGTATGCCATCTTTGGAATTCCACTTTTTGGTTTCTTATTGGCTGGAATTGGAGACCAACTGGGAACCATCTTTGGGAAAAGCATTGCAAGAGTGGAGAAGGTCTTTCGAGTGAGTACTGTGTCTATTCACACCCTGACCTCTGCGATCCAATTGGCTTTTTAGCCTGACAGGATCCAGAAGGAATTATCAGGATGTTATCGTATCATTGTCACTTTCGAAGGAATAATGTTATGACCGTGTTTTCTCTTTTGGCCAACGGTGGTCACAGGTACTGTGCCTAAAACTCCTTTCCCTTCAGCAGCTTCCTTCTTGACAGTGTATTTCCAGAATCACAATACAAGAAGGTTAAGTACAGATCTGCCAAAACAGGTTTTCTGAAGATGGGAGAAACACTTAGTTCCGTTTTAAAAATGGAAGATTGGGTCCTAAGTGTGTTTGCAATAAAGTAGAGGAGTAAATCCATTTATTTTGTTATTAGAACTTACTTACTCCTTTTTATGTCCAAGTGTGGTGTCTTTAGGCTGATCCTAGCTTCTAAGACCCCTTCCAGAAGCCTGCCTTGTCTAGATACTGCGTTGTGCTTTGTTATTTGTCTCTTCATGGTCTCACCCTATCTCCCCACGCCCCACCCCCACTTCTGAGTGCTCCTCAGCAATAGTACACTAAGGTACTAATTTATACTAAGATGTTGATGATTGCTATTGTCTTAGTGGGTTTTTTCCACTTGAGAATACTTACCTTTAAACAAGGGACAAAAGGGGCGCCTGGGTGGCGCAGTCGGTTAAGCGTCCGACTTCAGCCAGGTCACGATCTCGCGGTCCGTGGGTTCGAGCCCCGCGTCAGGCTCTGGGCTGATGGCTCGGAGCCTGGAGCCTGTTTCCGATTCTGTGTCTCCCTCTCTCTCTGCCCCTCCCCCGTTCATGCTCTGTCTCTCTCTGTCCCAAAAATAAATAAACGTTGAAAAAAAAATTAAAAAAAAATAAATAAAAAAAATAAACAAGGGACAAAAACTCAAGAAATTTATTGGTATGTGAAGGATATGTGATTGGGTTGGGGTTCCCAGTGCCCTTTAACTCACACTTCTCCATATGATTTCACAGATAACTTGTTTGGCTTAGATGCGATGTCATTTCTGCTCTTTTTCATTATTGACCTAATTCTCAAGTCTTTCAAACCTGTTTCAGGGAGTTGTTTCTGATGATGTCTAATATTTAAAAAATGACAGTCTGAGTGAGAAGCATCTGGGTGGCTCAGTCGGTTGAGCATCTGACTCTTGATTTTGGCTGAGGTCATGATCTCACGGCTGTGAGATGGAGCCCAGCATGGCCCTCCTCACTCAGCCTGGAGCCTGCTTAAGAGTCTGTGTTTCCCTCTCCCTCTGCCCCTCCCCTGCTCGCGTGTTGTGCTCTCATTCTCTCTCACAAACAAAACAACGCAAAAAATAAAACTGACAGTCTAAACACCTTTTCAGATTCTAACAGTGATGGGCAAAGATAGATCAGTGGTGAGTTCTAAAGCTGCACTGGTTTTTCTCTCTGAGACAAGAAATTGTGACTTTAGAAGGCAAGGGAGCTCCCCAGGTGAGCACTTTCAGGTTTGTTAAAGTGGAGTGGAGGAATAGGGCAAGAGAGCTGGCTTAGAGTTGCCTCTTCTGAGCTCAGTGATCCTGGGTTTACAGTGATCCTGCCCCGTTTACTCATCAGCGAAAGAGGAGGATAGAATTGGAATCCACTTGAGAAGGTTTTGGTGATGATTAAATGAAATAATGTATGCAAGAGAACTTGGCAGAGAACAGGGCCAGACACACAGCGTTCAGATCTGCTGTGTGTGTGTGTGTGTCTCCCAAAAGAAGCTCTTATTAGCGGGATAGCCATCCATTCAGATTTCATCTGAGGAGCTCAGGAGCACGTGGATTTTCCCAGAATGTCCCATAACCTTTGCTCCTGGGCTGCTGGCTAGCCAGCTGGCTCATTAAAGCATGCACTTGGGCTCAGTGGTCACCATGGAAACCGTCAAGGCTCAGCTTCTCTGCTTCTCAGATGTTCAGGTCTCCCTAAACCAGACACGGCAACCCCATCTCCAAGAGCCGTTTTGAACTTCTCGGAGGTGCCCTTTCAGCCATGGCCTCATGCCCCCACTCCAAGTTAGACAAAAATGAATCTGGCAGATTGAACACTCAGAAGAACAGGATTCAAATGGAGAAATGACTGATCTGGCATTTTTTATTTTTATGTAGCTTCTCCAGATCTCAGTTTCCTTATTTGTAGACAGAAAGGATTGCACTAAAAGCTTTTGAAATTCCCCGTTAGAAAAAAAAAAAAAAAAAAGAAAGAAAGAAACCAGTTACTGTATTCTAAATGAAGGAAGAGATTGCAATCATTCTGACCACATCTGCTGCTGAATTTGGGGACTTAGTTTCCCCTAGGGAATTTTGAACTACAAATAGAGAGTACTATTCTTCCCTTAAAGCTGCCTCTCGGGTGAATCTGAATCGTTCAGAGGACCCTGGGACAGAGCCTTAAAAACCTTGCATTTCATTTTTATGCTGATGGCACACTCAGTCCCTTGCAGCTCCATCAAGGACTGGGAGTCTTTCAGGAAGGAAACAGCAGTATATTATGGAATTGGCAACATGCGACATATGCATTTGCCCGACACCGGAGGGTGCTGCTGGAAGGGGTGACTGTACTTCAGGAATATCAGCCGACTTCCTGAATACACAAACAACCGATACTGCAGTTTGCTTGCCGCCTAGAGTTTGGGTGGAAAATCTCAAAGGTCTTTGCCATTCATTTATACTACATCTCAAGGGCCAGTTCCTCTTAGGTGATCAGTTGAAAACTGAAAATGTTGTAAACCAATAAAAGCTTGGGGTTGTGCAGTTCAGCCCCTGTGGGGAAGGTCCTTTTTTTTTTTTTTTTTTTTTTTTTCTTTTCCACCTGCTCAAGGGTTAAGTCTTTTTCTTATCTGCTATGTTTTCCCTCAGCTGTAGGGAAGAGATTTTTAGTGGAGTAAAGATAAAATAGAAAATGCACTTCTGGGCGCCTGTATTTTGCGGTGTAGACACAGGAGTCAGATAGAGATTAAAGTGTTTAAAATGTCAGCTTTATTGCTGGTAAGCTAATCAGAGAACCTAGCTTTTGCTTTGATGCCAAAAGGACTTATTAACTACTTTGCCCTGAATCAGAAGGACTTCCCTGCTGTATTGGTTTTCTAATGATGTGTAACAGATTATCACAAGTGCAGAAGCTTAGAACAATACACGTTTATTGTATCCCAGTTCTATAGGTCAGAAGTCTGGGCAGGCTTGGCTGGGTGCTATGCTCAGCATATCTTGGGGCTGGGCTCTGGATCTGGGGAGGAATCTGCTTCCAAACTCGTTCAGGTTTTGACAAAAATCAGTTGCCAGTGGTTGTAGGACTGAGATTCTTGTTTCCTTGCTGGTTGTCAGGTGGGGGCCATTGAGAGCTTCTAGGAATTAGCTGGGTTCCTTGGCACACACGGCCCCCCCCATCTTTAAAGCCATCATGGAATCCTTCTTGTGTATTGTATCTCTCTGACTTCCCTCTGCCCCTCTGCCACCAGCTTGAGAATGGTGCCCTGCTGTTTAAGGGCTCATGTGACTAGATCACATGATAATGCCCTGTCTTAAGAATAACTGTGCCATATGACACAACATAGCCATGAAAGCCATAGCTCATCCCACCAGAGGTTGTGGGGATTAGGGTGGGATATTTTCATGGGCCATTTTGGAGATTCTGTCTCTTCCAGTCATTGGCAGCACAGGCCTCCTTAACGAGAGCAGGGTTAGACCCACTAAACTTGCTATATCATGGAGAGGAGAACAAAGTATGCCTCTATGTAGCAGATGGTTTCAGATGGGAGGGGAAGGGGCCTGAGGTGGAGGAACTCAGTCCTTTCTGCTGTGTCACTTGTCTGATTGAACAGTGGAGGTCGAGGCCTGGAATGTTACTCTGGGTGAAGTCCTTCCACTTAGAACATGAGGCCAGGAGAGTGGACATTGCCCCAGTGCTAATTAACAATGGCTTAAAAATTCAACACTTACTTACCCTGGAGAGGGAAGAGCCTAGAGGAAGGTTGGTGCGTCAGTTCCTTAAAGGCAGGTTAAGGACTGTGGTACCAATTCTGATGTGTGGATGTTCCCCCAACACCACCAAGCAATTCTTTGACACCTAAATTCCCAACTGCAAGGGAAATTAAAAAAAGTAAGGATCTGGGGCGCCTGGGTGGCGCAGTCGGTTGAGCGTCCGACTTCAGCCAGGTCACAATCTCGCGGTCCCTGAGTTCGAGCCCCGCGTCGGGCTCTGGGCTGATGGCTCAGAGCCTGGAGCCTGTTTCCCATTCTGTGTCTCCCTCTCTCTCTGCCCCTCCCCCGTTCATGCTCTGTCTCTCTCTATCCCAAAAATAAATAAGCGTTGGAAAAAAAAAAATTAAAAAAAAAAAAAAAAGTAAGGATCTGACAAAGGACAGTGGGATTTCCTACAATTCAACTCAATTCTGACTCTATCTACCTGGAGAGCAGGTCAGTTCAGTTCCCACAGGTGAAGGGCTCAGTTCCACAAGATCTCCCTTCACTTCAGATGCTGGTCACAAGTCCAGGCCGTTTCCTGTGCTTCTGACCACATGGCTGTAGATTAGGGGTTCCCATGACCCCATCCTTGAGTTCAATAAATCTGCTAGAATGTCTCTGGGGAAGTTGGGGCCTAACACAGTAGCACATAGAAGCGTTCTGGTTCACCAGCCTGGAAGCACCCTGAATCCCCGCCTTTTGGATTTTTTTGGAGGCTTCATTACATAGACATGATTGATTCAATCATTGACCATTGATGACTGATTCAACCTCCAGTTCCTCCCCTCTCCTCAGAAATCCCACCAGGGCGTGGGACTGAAAGTTCCAAACCTCCCCCATCCTTAGGCGATCCAAAAGTCATGTCATTCACATAACAAAAAACACCTTGGTTACTCTTATCGCTGGAAATTCCAAGGGTTTCAGAACCTCTGTACCAGGAAAGACCAAATTGTACCCATGTTTTGTTCTCTGTTTCTGCTCTGCTGTCCTTGGCATGTTGGCTTTTCATCTGCAGACT